TCCCTTCACAAGTAGGAGGTATTTTAGCTGGGGTATTCCACTGCAGTTCTGCTTCCAGCTCCCTCCGTTCCCCAGGACTGATGTACTGCAGTATGCAGCCCCTTGCTATGTTAGCACAGAGCCCTCACCGAGTGTCTTTTTCTTGTAATGCTGGATAGAAGTCAGCATTAAGAGGTCAGGCAACTGGATTTTCTGCAGTCCAGGCTGCTATGGATGAGCAAACTCCTACTTAGTTTAAACCACTAAAATGCTGAACTTTGAGGCTCGTCCATTTAGAAAGAGCTGATTCCCAGGCCACAGAAATGCCTTCCCACTAAGCAGTAAATGAAGTGAGAATGATATTGTGGTTAGACAGAAGAAAGCCATTGATTCCCGTTTCTGTAGTGTTTTCCATTATACTGTACCTGTCTGTCAGGCAGCTGGAAGGCATAAGGATTAAGCACAGGTCATGCAAATCATTGTAGACTAATTATGAAGGCTTGTAGTCCCTATATTCAATATTCTTTTTGAAAGGTGGTTGGAGTGTTGCTTTTTTTTTTTTCTTATTGGACTCTTTTCAGCCATGCAGACACGATGCCTTTATGTCACTTCAGGCATATATGTTTTAATGAGTAAATGCAATTAATCCTCAAGAAAGACAGAATAACCTTCAGACTTATATTTCCCTGACGCAGCAGTAAGCTCCTTTGGTGGTCAGCTTTTCCCTTGGAAGCTTTGGAGGAGTGTATCTCCATGCTGGCTCTATCCTTCCTCCTGGCTGAGTCTGCCAGCGAGGTTGCTAGATATAGAAACCTCTTGAGTTTCTTGTGGATATCTCCTGACTAAAGATCTCTTTTTTTTCTTAATCCAGTAGCACAAAGGATTCTGTGTGAGAGTTTGTCCAGGACACTAGAAACAAACAAATTGCCCTGAAAAATGTTTGATAATGTTGCTGTCGTTGCGACGAACGCGACACACTTCACCTGCCCTGTCTAATTGGCATTTAATGACAAAGCTGATTTTTGGCTTTCTGTTCAGAGGTGTGGTCGAATTCCATGCTCTCCTTCTGTGCAAACACTCCAGAAAACAACCATTTTCATTTTAATTGAGCTGGGTGGACTGGGGTAATGCCAGGCTTTTTCCTGCCCGCTGCCTCTGCAGCGTCTCCAGCTTTGCAGGTCAGTGCATCAAGGGACCGTGCGCTCGGGTGATGCTGGCAGAAGTCAGTTTTTCATTTCATTGCATGGCCGTGGCTGTGTGTCGTGCAGAACATTCACAGGCTGAATGTATGACCCAGAAATTTTCTCTGAATATTCTGCAAGCCATGAATTGCAACGACAGAAATGCAAGTTAGTGTTACTACACCATCCAGGGAGGGTGGTTTGGTTTTCTCCTTTGAAGAAAGGCATTTTGATTTTCAAAAGGTTCCTCTCTTACCAGAGAAGGGCTGTGTATTTCTGCTAGTTTGGCCAAAGGGGCTTCTCCAATTTGGACAGATTTTTTCTCTGATGAACTGTTTATGAAGCTGCAATCTGAGTCTCTCCCAATTCTGTCAAAAATAACCATAGGCTGCTTCTCTCTCTCCTGCTGTTATTATGACTGTCTTTCATACCCTCCAACGACAGACGGCCTAGTTCATGTCTTTCCTCCTTTTTTGTATTGCTTGCCAGCTCTGCAAAGCTGAAGCTGGAGGAAGAGGAGGAAGGCAAGTAAAAAGCCAAGTTTTACTCACTTCAGAAAACTAGAGGAAAGCCATCTTACTTTCACGGGTATATTGCTGCTAGTGCAAATGTTGAAGCTTAGTTTTATTAATTGAGAACCGCAGGAATGGCTGCATTTCAATAGGTGATGATTCGAATATCCTCTGTCAGTAGGGAACTCCTCATGCTTTCCAGAGGTTGCAGTTCTCTGGTTCTTTTTGGATATGTGAAAGTGCTCAGCAAAGCAATTTGACTTTGTGTTTATCCCCTGTTGTTTTGTAAGGCTTTTTCCTCTTTCTGCAACAAGAGAAATCCGGGGGATTAGGTAAACTAAATACAAAAAAAAAAAGGAGGCAGGAAATCCTGTAACACTGAAATAAATGGCTCTTGCAGCTTCTGGGGGTTGAGAGGATTCAAAGTCTGGGCAGATCAGCCCTCTGTTCCCAATCCAGCGTGCTTCCTTTATGTAATTTATTCTGGGTGGATAGATGACTTTTTTTCAGAGCAGTTGTTAAAGAGAGCTGCTGTATCACCTGAGATGCTATGAGCTCTTTGCAAAGGCAGTATGCACTGCCACCGAGATTTCTCTTCTTCCCCTCTGTTCTCCGAAGCCGGAAAGGTTTCCTTGGCTGCTTTTGCTTTGGAGTCCCCGTGCTGAAGCAAGCAGATGGCACACGGCTAATTTTGTCTTTTGAAATGCATCAGTAGAGCCTTGGGCCAGATCCACAATGTCCTTTCGGTACCTTGCCCCTGTTTTGATACCTGTTAATTCTTGTAGGGATCAAGGTCCCCTAAACCAGCTTTGTGAGCCTGAGCTCGCTCACGCTACCCTAGGAACCGCGTTGCAGGAAGCAGGGGAGAGGTACCCATGTCACAACTAACCCTGTGTTGCCTTGTAGCCGTTTACAGACCCTTTATCAGATTAGAGGGAGGCTGCTGAGTGAACAAGGATGTGCTGTAGTTAAAGGCCAGTGTTTATTATTATCCTATTTAACATGGTAATTTAAGTCTACCGGGAAGCAACCAGAGGAATCTGATAATGAGGCATTCATCTGCTGCATGCAGGAGACTGGATGGGCAAGGCATATAGGAGGTAGAAGTTATGTGGCTCGTTGGGTACTATTTTGGGTACTGTTTAGCCCTTCAGAAATACTGTTGAACAGTTCCCCCACTCCAGCAGGTCCCTGCCTGCAATGCCCCGTTTTCTGTGTGGCGGGAGGAGAAAAGGGAACTGGAGCAGTCCTGCACAAGAGCAGAGCTCACCCAACCCCATCCTCACTGTCCTAATCAGCAGCAAAGACGTTTAACCAACTCTTCCTTGCCTGCCCTTGCATCACCACTCAGCCGATTGCACACTCTCGCTCCTCGTAGCAATTTCAATGCATTGTGTTTTGCAAAACTGTTTTAGATGCTCTTTAAAAGCTCCGCTCAGCCAGCCGTCCAGGAGTCAGGGTTTCTCTACACATTTTGACTTACTTGGTGTTTTGAATGCTCTCACAGGTCCACATGAACACTCTTTAGCCTTTGAGATGCGATGAGTTGCATCATGAGCACACGTGCTGTCGAAACGGCAGGACTTGGCAGCACAGCCATTCCACATGTGTCTTTTAGACTGAATTTTAGTGATCGTGGCTGAGAGATCTTCTGTTGCAGTTGCAGGCTTGAAATCTTTCATGGACTGAATGAAAAAGTGCCTTGCTTATTTTTTTAGCAGGTGCTTTATGAACTATGTGACGTTTCACATGACAAAGACTGGCAAAAGCCAAATGTTGCTGTTAGACACAACGGGGAGGGAGAGCAAATGATCAAGCTGTTTTCAACTTTCAGTTTCTGACTTCAGGATGTTTAAATTTAAATCTTAAAAGAACCTTAATGCTATAATTTTATATGGCTTTATGTGGCATGAGAAAATATGTTATCACTGTGAGCTGATTTTTATTAA